CGGCCGCCCTAAGGAGCCGTTGGCCGCCTCCCTCAGCTCCATTCGCGACCGGGAGACCTTCTACAGCCGTCGGATGCAACGGATCCGGGGAATCAACTTCGCCATGCAGTTCTGCATCACGCCCATCGTCTCATTTGTGACGTTTGCGGTGTACAGGTAAGGGGGGGGGAAAGAAGACGAACCACGGACGCGGGGTGGGGGGAGATGGGGAGCCGTACACACCGTGATTTGTGAGCCGTACATGCCGTACATGTCGTTTGCGGCGAAATTTTGCGAAATGAGGGAAACAGTTGCGAGATGAGGAAATGGGGAAATGAGAAATGAGCTGCCGAGTGAGGGAGGGAGGGGGGAAGAGGGGCTGTGGAACTGCCCTGGAGCGGACCTAAAACTGAACCACGTTCATCCAAACCACCTACTATCATCTGTTTATCTGTCTGTTTTGTCCGTCCGTCTGTCTGTCTGTCTGTCTGTCTGACTGTCTGCACCTGCCACCTCCCCTCTCCTCCCCGCCTATTTCTTCCCCCCCAGGGCCCGCAACGGCTCCCTCAATGTGGCCTCCGTGTTCTATTCGCTGTCGCTGCTGCACCTGCCCAAGCTGTACATGGTACGTGACTGTGATGGTGGTGGGGGGGGGGGGGGGGAGGAAACAGGTCCACCTCTTGAGCCATACCCTGTACGTACGATCCCCCTTCCCCGTCGACCTACCACACCCCCTACCCCTTCCGCTTCTTTATAGGGTTGCATTCTTGCCCCGGCAGCAGCTTCACTCACGTGGTTCACGTGCTTCGTCTTTCACCCCCTACCACAATACACACCCCATTTACCCCCCCCCTCGTCCCCCCACCCCCCACCCCCCTCTTCCCACCAGGTGAATTTCTTCGTACTAGCCGTACAGACTCTTACGGAGCTGCGTATCTCGCTGCAACGCATCGACGACTTCCTCTCGACACACGAGCCCACACAACCAGGTGGGTGCAGCTACGTCGAGAAAAAACACCACCATCGCCGCCACGACCACGGCCACAAGGAACAACAGCAGCACCAACAGCAGCAACAGCAGCAACAGCAGCAACAGCAGCAACAGCAGCAACACGAGGAACGCAAGGAGCAGCAGCAGGGCCAGGAGTACGGCAACGGTCATCATGCCGTTATGGGTGTCGTTCGTTGCAGCAGCCCCAGCCAGGAGCTGACTCACCCCGGGTCAGGCGGGGGCCCGGCGGAGGGGGGCTCCGGGGAGGTGCGGGTTGAGACGGCGGCAGCGGCGCCGTTGCCGGCGGACCCGGCCCCGGCACGACGTCATGACGACGGTGGGGGGAAACCTAAGCGGGCGGAGGCAGCGGCAGCGGCGGAAGCAGCGGCAGCGGCGGAGGCAGCGGAGGCGGAGGCAGCGGCAGCGGCGCAGGCTGCGGAGGCTGCGGTAGCGGTGGCGAAAGTGTCTGCCACGGCGCCTCCACTTCCGTCAGGATATGTGGCCATGCGCGGTGCAGATTATGACTGGTCTCGTCCGTTCGGTCGTGATGATGTACGACTGTACGACACTCATGGGACCGCGCTGGGAGGTGGCGGCGGCAGCGGTGGCAGTGGCGGTGGCGGTAGAAGAGGTGGTAAGGAGTGTGGGACTGGCGCCCCCGCGAGTGGCGGGAACGGGGTCTCCGTACCAACCTCCGCTGCCTCCGTCACGGGGGGTGGCGGCGGCAGTGGCGGCGGCGGCGGCGGCGGAGTGACGCTTCACGGTATTTGTTTTTCCGCTTCCCCCGGGGAGTTGCTGGGTGTTTGCGGCGCGGTGGGCAGCGGGAAGTCCTCCCTTCTGGCCGCCCTGCTGGGGGAGCTGCAGCCGCTGACGGAGGTGGCTAGGGAGGTGGTGGTGGCGGAGGGGGGTGCCGCGGCCGCCGCCGCCGCCGGAGACGGCGTTTGTGGCGACGGCGTTGGTAGAAGCGGTGGTGGCGGTGGCAAGGGGCCCGTCGTGCTGGGCCGTGTGGCGTATTGCTCCCAGGTGGGTGGTTGTGGGTAGTTGTGAGTGGTTGTGGTTAGTTGTGAGTGGTTGTGGTTAGTTGTGAGTGGTTGTGGTTAGTTGTGAGTGCTTGTGGTTAGTTGTGAGTGGTTGTGGTTAGTTGTGAGTGGTTGTGGTTAGTTGTGAGTGGTGGTGAGGAGCAGGAAGCTAAAGTGATATGCTAAGGAGCTGCAGGTGGTCAGCTGTGGCTGTGTGGACGGGTGGCAGCGGTAAGCGCTTTCTCCAACACCCGCCCACCCACACTGCCTTCCCCTCGAATTTCCTTTTCAGTAAATATTCCAACCTTTGTGGGCCGTAATTCTACCGGAAAGAGCGCTTCTTTGCGTCAAAATGCAAAAATCCATCCCCTCCCACCCCCCACTGGCTCTCCCCTGCTTTCCCCCTAGCGACATCTCCCTCCACTCCTTATATGTATGTACGTCCGTATGCATGTATGTATGCAGGTGCCCTGGATTGTGGCAGGCACCGTCCGCGAAAACATTCTGTTCGGGTCGGCGTGGGACGAGCAATGGTACGGCAGGGTCGTACACGCCTGCTGCCTGGCGGATGACCTGACGGGGTTTCCGGCGGGTGATGCCACAGAGTTGGGGGAGCGGGGAATCAACTTATCAGGTATGTGTGTGTGGGGGGGATTTAAGGGGGAGGCGGGAGAGGGGAAGGGGGGGGGGAGGGGCGGGGAGAGGGGCGGGGGGAAGGGGGAGGGGGAGGGGGAAGGGGCGGAGCTCCTGGGTTTCTGGGGGGTTTGCAAAGTTCGTTATGTTCGTTATGTAGGTGTCTCCTAAACCCCCGTGTGTAGGGTGAGGAAGAGGCCGCCCAGGAAGGAATCTTTACATTGGGGCTGTGGGAGAAAAGGGGGGGGAGGTGTGTATGTGTATGTGTATGTGTATGTGTATGTGTATGTGTATGTGTATGTGTATGTGTATGTGTATGTGTATGTGTATGTGTATGTGTATGTGTATGTGAAATAACGTGGTCAGGAAGGTCGCTGGATGGGTGTGTAGGGGTGAATGGGGGGGGGCCGGGGGCGCCCCTTGAAACGGGTGACCCCCTTGGGTTCCTCTTTGCACACTGCACACCACCTATTTCCTGGTCCTGGTCCTGGCACTTAAAATGCGGTTGCAGTGCTGTTGCAGTAGTGCTATTGCTCCTTGCACCACCAATATGATTCCCTTATTGATGGTGTTTTCGTGTCATTCCCCCTTTCCTCCTTGTCCTCCTCGTGCTCCTTGTCCTCCTTGTCCTGCGTGTACGGCAGGCGGTCAGAAGGCCCGTGTGGCTCTGGCTCGTGCCTGCTACTCTCGGCCAGCGGTGGCGCTGCTGGACGACCCGCTCAGTGCGGTAGACCCACGGGTCGGTCGGGACCTGTTTTCCCGCGCCATTGGTCCGGGGGGGCTGCTGGACGAGTGCGGGGCCACCCGGCTGCTGGTGACTCATCAGCGGCAGTGCCTGCCAAAGTGAGCGAGTGTGTGTGTGTATGTGTGTGTGCGTGTATATGTGTGTGTGTTGTGGAGGGGGCGCGGGTATGAAGGGCGCGGGGGATGCGGGATGAGGGATGACGTAGGAAGTGGGGGTTGCGATTGTACGGGCGAAAACTGCTACTGGGTTTGCGTTACAAAGGACAAGTACGGAAACCAGTGTGGGCCCGGTTTTGTTTACCCCCCGGGGGGTTGACTTTAAAACATGTAGAAAAACATAACAGCCAGTCTTGCTCACATCACGCATCACATCACGTCACCCGTGTCATGTGTCGTACACAGGTGTGACCGGGTGCTGGTATTGCGGGGCGGCCGACTGGTAGCGGAGGGCTCATGGCGTCAGCTGGCGGCACTGAAGCTGACTGAGCTGACGGCGGGACATGGGGGCCTTATGGGACCCCCGGCGGCGGCGGCGGATGTGGAGGGGGTGGCGGCGGCGGCGTCAGAGGACGGCCCCACGGTGGACGAAGTGGTGCTAGACGACGACGTGGATGGCGATAGGGCGCCTGCGGGAACGGAAGGAGAGGAGGAGAAGGTGACGACGGCTGGCGACGCCGCCGCTGCAGCCGCTGCGTCTTTGGCGGTGGCATCCAGCGGGTCGGAAGATGTATCTGTAGCGGTGCATGACGGCGGCCTGTTACCGCCGCCGCCGCCGCCGCCAGCAGCCGTAGCAACACAGCCTCCGTCGGTCGTTTCTGGCGAGTTCGATCTGTGGGTCACATGGCGGAGAGGTTCCGGCTGGCTTTGATCCGGGAGGGGGGCTCGTTCGCGTCGGGTCGCGTCACCGTGCTGCTGAGGGGCAGTGGGCGGCGGCTTGGCGGTCCGGGGGGGGCCGACGGGGACGGGGAGGGGGAGGCGGCTGGCGGCAAGTCAGTGTCGCTGCAGCGGGGGAACACGGGTGAGTCGGGGCGGGGAATGTGTGTGTGTTTTGCATATGCGTGTGTATGTATGTATGTGTGTGGTGTGTGTGTCAACCGCATGCGGCAGGCGGCGAATGAGAGCGGGCGGGGAAGTTGGGGGGATGGGGGAGGTGGAGGCGGCGGCGCCGCAGTGTTCTTCACTAGAGAAACTTCACACACCGCATGAGCCGTACTGCGTACGGCGGTACGGCACTCGGCTGCATATTGGCTGTACATAACACGTGCAAAACCCGCCTCCCGCCATCTTTCCCCGGGACCCCCCTCTCCCCTCTACACCCACATACATACTTACGTACATACATGAATACACACACATACATACATACACACAAACCCGCAGGCAAGCTGGTGCAGTCAGAGGACCGGGTTACAGGCACCGTGTCGTGGCGCGTGTACGGCAGCTACTGTCGTCATTTGGGCCTTATGGCCACCGGCTTCATCTGTGCGGCCATGTTTGCCGGGCAGGCCGTGTTTTTGGCGTCCGAGTGGTGGCTTGCACTTTGGTCCCGAGCGGATGGGGAGGACCAAGGACACGTCAAGTACGGCACTTCCACATGCACGCGGGGGTTTGTTTATTTAAAACACGCGCGAGGGGGGAGTTGAGGGGGAAACTGTGTTTTTTCTTGTGTGTATATATGTATGTGTGTGTATTTGCCCCCTGCCTGTGTGTATATATGTATGTGTGTGTATTTGCCCCCCCCGCTCACTTTGCCATCCTGCACTGCTCATGGGCTGACAACAGGTGGCTATGGGTGTACGGCATGCTGACGGGGATTGTGATCGTGGTGGCGTTCGTACGGTCCGCCACGTTTTTCGAGGCGACCCTCTCTGCCGCGACGTCCATCCACAACTCCATGGCACGCCGGTGCGTGTGTGTGTATGCGTGTGCTTGTGCTTGTGCGCCGGGGGGTTGGGGGGTAGAGAGGGGTGGAGGGGAGGGGTGAGACGGACCTCAATGCAGACGATGCAGACACGTCGTGCTGGCAAGGCGTATATATCATGCGCTAAGGACGGTAAAGCATGGACTACTTATACTTATGAAGCCTTGGGGTATCTGATGGAAGTAAAGAACCAGATAGAGCAAGTAATAATGCCTAATCTATCGGTAATACAGATGTTATCGGAGCATCAGGGGGAGACTCCCTTAATGCGTCAGGCAATAGATAAAATTGCGCTGCTAAAGAAACAACTGGGATATATAGAGCAGATCATTCCTACCATGACGGAGAATGTGAGGGGTACTAATAGCAGGGGACAGAATACTGAGCGATCATATATAGTAATAGATAACTCCGATGTAAAACTTTTACACATATATATATATACATATATATACATATGTATATGTATGTGTATGCATATACATATGCATATATATATACCCTATGCATATATATATGTACTGCCGATGCTACTGTTATTGCTGCCATAAGGCCATAAGGCCCAAATGGTTATCGAGGTGTTGGAGGTTGTACCCTCATTTTTGTAGCGGCGGGAAGTGCACCTTGGGAAGAAGGGGAATGTAATAATAGAGTGTTTTATGTAGAGTATACTCTGTAACAATATAGAGTATATGTCATCAAGACAGGGAGACGTGGTCAGTTGGTCATTACCATTACACACACTCTCCCCCTCTTTCCCCTTCTCGCCGACGCCGTCTCCTCCTCCTCCTCCTCCTCCTCCGCACCCCACCCCACCCGCCCACCCCCACCCTCCCAGAGTCCTCTTCGCGCCGCTATCCTTTTTCCACACCAACCCCTCGGGCCGCATCGTGAACAGGTGGGGTTTGCGTGTTTGTGCGTTTGTATGTTTGTACATATGTTTATGTGTTTGTGCGTTTATGTATGTTTATGTGTTTTTTTGTGCACGGCAAGACGACGATGAGCAAGTGGCGGCCATTCCACGGGCCATTCCGCCCTCCTCCTCTCCCCTCCCCTCCCCTCCCCTTCCTTGTACGGCAGGTTTAGTAAGGACCAGGGTCATGTGGATGACCTGCTTCCCTCCTGCACGTTCGATGCCCTTCAGTCGGCATTTCAGGTGGCGGGGGCCTTTGTATTGGTGGCCGTGGCGGTGCCCGTCATCCTGCCCGTATTCCTGCCTCTGGCGCTGGCCTTCTACTGGGTACGGCATCGGTACGTCACTGCCAGCCGGGACATCAAGCGTTGGGAGGCGGTGTCCAGGTCGCCCATATTCGCTTCTTTCTCCGCGACACTCAAGGTACGACGTCGTACGACGTGTGTGTATGCGTGTCGGGGGGAAGGAGAGGGGACGGGGAGGGGAGGGAGGCGGGGACGTTGCCGGACGGTGGTTGGAGTGCGGGTGGTCGTGGTACAGGGCATGCGGTGAGGTGTGCGTGTGCGTGTGTGCGTGTGTATGGGGAGGGGGAGGGGGAGGGGGAAAGGAAGAAGGGGGTTTGAGGGGTGGTTGGTAGGCATGGGCGTGGCAGGTCAGGGTGAGGAGTGTCCACTGTACGGCACTGCACGACACCGCACCGGGGCCATCAGGCACCTCTCCTCGCCCCCATCTCAGTCCACCTTCTCCCCTAAGAAATAATGTTATAAAACCCTAAGAGAACATGTTTAAAAACCCTAAGAAAACAATTAGAAAACCCTAAGAAAACATCCTTAAACGCCCTAGAAAAAACACTGAGAAAACACACCTCCCCCCCCTCGTCTTCCACCCGTGAATTCGCAGGGACTTCCCACCATTCGGGCGTATGGGGCGGCGGACCGCTTCCACGACGAGTTCTTGAAGCTCATGGCGCACAACAGCAACTGGTACTTCGCCTTTATATCCACCTCCAGGTGCGACTGTCTACATCTGTATGTATGTGTGAAACAGGGGGGTGTATCTTCGCCCGTGGCAGCTACCCTGCGAAACCCTGCCTTCCCCGGTATTTCGGGGCACCCTCATCCAGTCACCCTAGTCAACTTCTCAGTGGATCGCTCAGGTTCCGCACCCACCACCAGTATCCAACGGAATCTGCCGGGTCGACAGCGGCCCAACTCCATTCCTGGTCGGCTCGCAGGTTAACTTTATCCCAGGTCACCACCGTCCATCGACTAGGGGCGCAATACCTTCCACCATCGGAAGGTCTTTGACCCTAACGGGTATCGATCCCGTGATCTCCCGGAGCAATGGTCGCGCGTTACCAGTAGTGCCAAACCTATCTGTATGTATGTATGTATGTATGTATGTATGTATGTATGTATGTATGTATGTATGTATGTATGTATGTATGTATGTATGTATGTATGTATGTATGACTTAGATTACACTGTGGGCCGCGAGAGCCGGGGGCCGAAGCCTAAACACAGCGCAAGGGTCGGGAGCACACAGCACAAGTCGGTTAGTCTTGTGTGCTCCCGACCCCGACTCAGACTGCCAACACTCTACGCAGCCACTCCGCAGCCCCTCCATCCGGGGATGGCGCTGCATTGAATACACCACGAAGGGTTCTCAGGTCCCGCTAGGGCGAGTCCACAAGGCTCAGCTAGGGCAAAGTCAAAGGCTCTCTGAAACAACCCCCCAAAACACCACCAACGAAAACGGGATTCGAAGGGAAAACAAACAAACAACCAAAAATTGGGTTAGGGCAGTCCCGGCAGGGGAGGGCTCCTGATATACCTAACAGGCCAACAAAAAACCTCCAAGAGAGAAAGGCTAAGAGAGCTCGACACCACAAGACGTCTTGCAACCACCTTAAAACAACTGACCTCCACCACCTGTCCCTTCCTGGGCTGGTCCAGGGGAGAAGTAGCCTTATAAAGAAAAGGGATCCCGCACAAGCCTGATCACCACTGCAGGGGCCCGGGATAGTCCGGCGAAAAGACCAAAGCGTTAGCGTTGCCACGACACACAGCTCCTAGACCCTCCAGAAAACCGCAGGGGGAGGATTGTAGCCCGCGCGGCGCCTCCCCCTTACCGCCACTAACCTGAACGGTTGGTCCTCCAGAATCCTATTCACCCTGTCTCGTACTGCACCGCTCTCACCTTCGTCCCTCACCAAGCAACCCAGTCCCACAGAGGAGACGTGTCTAAATAGAATGGCCCTCCTCGGGCCACATCTCCCACTCATCCGAGCCCCGCTACCACCACCAGACCTCAACCTCCCAAACACCAGAAAACCTACGTCCTTTTGGCGCTCTCACCGCCATCTCCCCCCTCCCCTGTCCGAGCGACCCCACCTCCCCCCGGCTCTCCAGCACCCTACAACCTCGGAGTGGCACTAGGGAAGAAAAAGGGTTCTTCCCTGCACGACGTGACCGCCTCCATTCCCCGTCCTCCTCCTCTCCCTCTCCCGTCTCGGGGTTCCCTCTCACTTATTCCCTTGCCCTCCAACCCCCATCCCCCTCAAACTCCTATAGGCCCCCGAGCCCTGCCCTACAAACTAAGCTCAAAGAGCTCTTAGGCAATAATTTCCACCGCTTCGGCGCACCGCAGTGCGCCTTCTGAAACCGACAGGATCGGGTGGTCGGGTCCCACCCTGTCCCAGCCTCTCCGCGGGGTGCCCAGCGCCGTGAAGGAGTATGTATGTATGTATGTATGTATGTATGCGTGTGGTACGTCAGGGCATCTGGCGTCAGCGCCCAAGGAAATCAACGAACGAACTAACCCCCTCTGGATGTCCGTCTGTCTGTCTGTCCGTCTGTCCGTCGTTCAGGTGGATTGGTGTACGGCTGGATGCGGTGGCCGGTACGGCACTTCTGGCTGCAGCTCTGTTGGCGGTGGCCATGCGGGACCGAATAAATACGGGGGTGGGTGCGGTGCACGTGGCGGTGTGTTTGTATGTACGTATATGTGTGTATGTATGTATGTGTGTATACATGCAAAAAACATATATGTATGTATGTACTTACATACATACGAACAACTGACTCGCGAGTAGGAAGTGGCGGGGGTGCGAGGGGGAGCTCCCCGGGGGGGGGGGAGCCAAAGCAAGTAGTCTGGAATAGCATGACGTTATTTGTTATGTACGTACGTACTGTGGTACGGGATTTCTGGAACAGCACTGATCGCGTGTTCCATATGGCCTATATGGCCTATATACACACACACACACACACACACACACACACACACACCCCGAATTGTGCCTCATGGCCCCCCCCCGCGCCTTTCCCGTCGTTCCCCCTTCCGCCGTCCGCCACAATCACGTTCATCATTATATGGTGACGGTGCTGGTGATGATGTTTTTGTGTAAATACATGAAAATACAAAATGCGCGCAGGTGATGGCTTTGGCACTGACACACGTACTGCAGCTCACGGGGTTAATGCAGTGGGTGGTACGGCAGGTACGAAGGGCAGGTGTGTACACTGTACGGCACTCGTACGATACAATGTGTGGCGGGTGTGCACAAGCATATAGGCCATATATGCGGATATCCGGCTGTAGAACGACATAAATACATATGGTATTACACGCTTGTCCCTTATTATTAGATAATTACCTACAAGCTTGGGTTAAATAGCATATAATTGCCCCCCTCCCATCCCCTCCTTATTCCTGAATCTTTCCCCTGATCCCTATTTTTAACGAAACCAGTCCACGGCCTTCCCCCCGGCCCTCCGCCCCACATCCCCTCTCTTTCCCCCTTCTCTCGCGCCTCCCGCTGGGGCACTCCCCTCCTCTTCTTTTATTCCCCTCCTCCTCCTCTCCTCCCCTCCCCTCCCCTCCTCCTCCTCTTCTTTTATTCCCCTCCTCCTT